CTAATTTCTTGAGTTCTTTATATATATTCTGAATATCAGCCCTCTGTCAGATGTGGAGTTGAAGATCTTTTCCCATTCTGTAGGCTGTCGTTTTGTCTTGTTGACTGTGTCCTTTGCCCTGCAAAAGCTTCAGTTTCGGGAGGTCCCATTTATTAATTGTTTCTCTCAGTGTCTGTGCTACTGATGTTATATTTAGGAAGTGATCTCTGGTGTCAATGCATTCAAGACTACTTCCTACTTTCTCTTCTGTCAGATTCAGAGTAACTGGATTTATGTTGAGGTCTTTGATCCACTTGGACTTAAGTTTTGTGCACGGTGACAGATACGATTCTATTTGCAGTCTTCTACATGTTGACATCCAGTTAAAGCATGGCATTTTAAATATATAAGAGACACAGTCACAAGTGTTCTGACTGCTCCAGAATCTATAACTCACATTCTAGAGTAACTAGCATTCAAATCAGTAAACAGTATGAGGCTGGGATGCAGTACAGTGGCAGAGCACTCACCTAGGATACATGAGGCTCCAGGTTCAATTCCCAGCGCAGCATATGCACAGCCCAGACTATTTCATAAGCATGATACTTTAATGTATGTGAATATTTTGTTTTTGTTTTTGTTTTTGTTTTTCGAGACAGGGTTTCTCTGTGTAGCTTTGCGCCTTTTCCTGGAACTCACTTGGTAGCCCAGGCTGGCCTCGAACTCACAGAGATACGCCTGGCTCTGCCTCCCGAGTGCTGGAATTAAAGGCGTGTGCCACCACCGCCCGGCTTTTTGTTTTTGTTTTTGTTTTTGAAATATTTTAACTCTAGTACAGAAGGCTGAGTGATTAGAATTTCTAAGTGTTTTATTACTCTATTACTTATGAGATTGGGTTTGTCTAGAAAGACCTATGCTCCAATTTTGCTCAGCATAAACTCTAAGGTAATGAACTTGCTTTTACCTTTGTGTGGTATGAACATCTTCCATAAGTGACTGACTGTCAGTTTCCAGTCAGACTTTGTGGAAACAAAACATTGTATGTAGATTCTCCTCAGTATCTATAGATAGCTCTTATATACAAAAGAGAACCATTTTGACAGTAGAGCAAAATTTTGTAGTATTTATTTATTTATTGCACGTGTATGTTTAAATATTTTGATGCAGCTAAATAAGAGAAGAGTTTGTACATTTCATGGTATTTTACTTACTATGATCATGTGTTTTGAAATCCGGCTGTGTTTCCACAAGATCATGCCATCCCATGCTCTCACCGCTTTGCCAACAGCTTTGTGGCATGTCTTTCTGATAGCATTGTGCCAGCCTTGAAGCAGGGCAGGCTGTGTTTACATCCCATCCTTGCTGCTCATGAGTACTCATTCTTTCTGAGTGTCTTTTCTTTCATTTTTTAAATGTTTTTTTTTTTTTTTTTTTTAGGTAGAGTTTCTCTATGTAGCCCTGACTGTGCTGGAACTCGATTTGTAGACAAGGCTGGTCTTGAACTCAGAGATCTGCCTGCCTCTGCCTCCCAAGTGCTGGGGTTAAAGGCCTGTGCCATCACTGCCTGGCTTCTTTTTCCTCTTTACCATAATGCCGCACACAGGTGCCTGCGCACACTAATGGCTCAGTGAATGGAAGTGATTGCCATTTTTTTTTCTTGGTTTTTTTTTTTTTTTTGGTTTTTCGAGACAGGGTTTCTCTGTGTAGCTTTGCGCCTTTCCTGGAACTCGCTTTGGAGACCAGGCTGGCCTTGAACTCACAGAGATCCGCCTGGCTCTGCCTCGCCATTTTTTTTAATGACTGTCTTCCAGGGCACCCTGCAGAATTTCAGCTATTTCCATTCCTTCAGTTGTTAGGATCACTTGGCTATCATCTCTGTCATGTGATCAATTCTCTTGTTCTATTTTAAAAATTGCACAAAACTCAAACTCAGCTGACATCTTCAGAGCTGAGATTCCAGCAGAACTCCAGGCTCCCAGGCTGCTTAGCAGAGACCCTGGAGCAGTATGCTGACATCTTACACTGCAGGGGGTTCGTGTGTGTGTGTGTGTGTGTGTGTGTGTGTGTGTGTGTGTGTGAGTGTGTGTATGTGTGTGTGTACATGTAGTTGGATTTTTATATGGGCCGCCAGCTCACAAATAATGACATGGAGACTTATGATTAATTATGAAGGCTCAGCCTTAGCTTAGGCTTGTCCCTCTAGCTCTTAAATTTAAATAACTTAAATGTACATGGTTTTATTCATCTACGTTTTACCATGAGCTTTTCACCTTTCTTTCATTCTGTATGTCCGACTCCCTCCAGGTCTCCTTGGCGTGTCCTTAGATTCTCCTCCTCTTCCTCTCTCTCCCTGGAAATCCCCGCCTATACTTCCTGCCTAGCTAGCTTTTATCGGATGAGCCTGTTCTTTGTAAGAATTAGAAATTTATTCAGCTTTTAGAACTTCCTATAGAATGGAGAAAAGCAGGATTTCATGGTGGCCAGGGTTGTCTGAAAGGACATTGGAAGCGATCCTTTTACTATCTTGCCTACAAACATTTTTACAGGGCTCAAACTGCTTTGCAAGAATGGCCCTGATTAGTGGCACCTGGAAGGCTAGTCCAAAATGCATAGATGTGTTAGAAGGGCAAAAACAAGAGGTAGGAAATGCGGGGAGGGGATGGATTCAAGAATAGAATGATCCAGAGACCCAAGGGTGCATTTATAAGGAAGAAAAGCAAGGTAGGAGGTAGGGTGCCTCTGTTACTAGGCAACCCACAAACAAGCTTTTTGGTGTTTCCAGAGTAACCGCAGAGGAGGATAGAGAGTACTTGAGATGTTTTTAGAAATCACATCCAGTGAGCACCTCCTTCTCCTGTCCTTTGGCATCCTAACTTACTTAATAGCTACCTGGGTATCCCACTTGCTAGTCTGAAGAGACAAGCTAATTTACTGACGATCAAGTGCGTCCTAGACTGACTCCAAGGCAGCGCCTCTGCAAAGCCATCACACCTCTGCTGGCTGCACATTTGAGCTTGGGCATGGTTAGCTGTTGCCTAGAACAGAAAATTTCTCAAAAATTTTAGAAACAACGTTTTATAGAAAAATGAAACATACCCTCAAATAGAAATAGTGTTACAAAAGCTCCATCTACAACAGACCCTCTGATTAATCTTGCATCATTGATATATCTCCTCATATTCCTTCTCTCCTGACCTCCTTGCCCTCCTCCTAAATTCTTGTCCTTAGTTTATTTAGAAGCAAATTATAGACATTGCATAATTCTACCAGTAAACAGGTTAGTATGGATCACTGAAGTGTCAGGATGTAAAGGAACGTACCAGCAGTACAATCATCTCTAAAAGGCTGCTCAGGGCCCAGGAGGATGGCACACTCACACATAATAAAAAAAAAAAAAAAAAAAAAAAAAAAAAAAAGTTAGCCGGGCGGTGGTGGCGCACGCCTTTAATCCCAGCACTCGGGAGGCAGAGCCAGGCGGATCTCTGTGAGTTCGAGGCCAGCCTGGGCTACCAAGTGAGTTCCAGGACAGGCGCAAAGCTACACAGAGAAACCCTGTCTCGAAAAACCAAAAAAAAAAAAAAAAAAAAAAAGCTAAGAAAACTCCTGGTTTGCTTTTTTTCAATAGCTTAAGGGTGACAGAGAGGAAGCATTATTTCAATACCAAATGCATCACATGAACAGAAAAAAATTAAAAGAATCAGAAAAAATTTGAGCAGCAATCAGATATTTGAATTATTAGCTTTTGTGTGTATGTGGAGAGGGCGTGGTATTCTGAGGATCCAACTCTGTTCCCTGGCGAAGAAGTTGCTGAGAGACCTCTCTAGCCTCCTACTCCCAGTATCTTATTGCATTTGTTTTATTTGACATAAAAGAACAGACATAGTATTTTTTATTTTAAAAAATAATATTGAGGAAAATACCCAAAATCATGCCACTGGCAAGTGGAAGAACCGAGACCAGCATAGGAGTGTCAGCTTCGCCAAACTGGTCTGCATTAATTCACTCAGTCTTTCCCTACATGAAAACCCTAGACTCAGGGCAAGAGTGACTATACACAAATACATTATTTTCATTTTATTAGTGAAAAAATCAATAAAAGAGAAGAATTACTTAAAACTTTAAAAGATAGGGCTGGGGGTGGTGGTGGTGGCTCATTTGGTGAAGTGGTTGCCGTGAAGTCCCGGGAACCTGAGTTTGACTCCCAGACCACTGTAGTGCTGCCTACTGGAGTCCCTGAGCCTGGGGACAGAGACAAGAGGGTCCCTCAGGCTCCATTCAGTGGGCCCCAGAGTCATTGAGAGACCCCGTGTCAAAAATAAGATAGAGAGAATTGAGGAAAACACCCAATGTCAACCTCTGTCTCTCTCTTTCTCTCTCTCTCTCTCTCTCCTCTCTCTCTCTCTCTCTCTCACACACACACACACACACACACACACACACACACACACACACACATACACTTTAATGGTTTACTGTATTTAGTAGTTGATGTTCACCAAAGTCATTGTATCACATGTCCATCTTACAGATACATTAGTTGTAAATAATCAAAAGACAACTAATAGCAAAAGAGGGTAAGTAGGAAGTGAGTTTTCAATATTTATTATCTTTGTCTTAATATAATTGCACATTCAGAAAATTTAATTTTTAATTGTGTCTACCTAACATCTGGCTCCTAAAAATTTTAATAATTCCCCTGGTGGTCCAATATGAACCCATCATAGTCCCTTGCAGGGTTAGACATGATCAAGGTTTTTGGTTTAATAAGTTGCCTATTGAGTCATAAATTGTATGAGAAAACAAAATGATGTAGGAAAAGGCACCCACATGCAGCTGGTGTCCTGCTCTTCCGAAGCCCTGTGCGTTTTCGGTGAGCGCTGCCTTGATGTTAGGGAGGCTGAGTTCCTTGCTTGTCCCTGTACTTAAGTGCTAGCCTAGACAGTGAACTGAGGTCAGCAGATTCTGTCGTGAGTAATATGGAATAAACATTACTTACTGTGCGTTTGGTTTTCCCCCTCAAGCCATAACTGTGTTGCCTGATGAAGAGCAGAATTTGAATCACTATGTACAAGTTTTACAGAACCTGATAATGAGTGTTCCCACCAGGGAGCAGGGCTCTGGGGAAACGTCCTCAAGTTTTACGGATGTTCCAGAGGTGAAGTTTTCTCGGTATGAGCTGATACACACCCCTGAGGAAGTTACCCCTGAGAACGACATTCTGATCAGGCCCTTCAACGAGGAAAAGACAACTTTCCCTACAAGCGCCTTCACGCTGGGGATGCAGAGGAGAAAAAAAACCGAAACTACAGCGTTCTGGTCCATCCGGCCAAATAACGTTTCTGTTGTTTTACACGAGGAGGAACCTTATATTGAAAAAGAAGAGCCGGAGCCGGAGCCGGAATTCGAGGAGCCCCCATTCCAGGCCATTGTGGCCTCCTGAGCATGAGTCAGAGGAGGAGCACGATCTGGACCACGAGCATGAGCCGGACCACGAGCATGAGCCGGACCACGAGCATGAAACGGACCACGAGCATGAGCCGGACCACGAGCATGAGCCGGACCACGAGCATGAGCTGGACCACGAGCATAAGCCAGAGGACACACGTCATCATCATAGTGTGATCATCCGCCCATGGGTGCCAACCACACAGATCACCATAAGAACGAGTACCACCAGCAGTATGGATGTCTCCACGGACTCTGAGGATGTGCCCCAGCTCTCAGGCCAGCCAGAAACGGAAAACTTGGAAGACCTCTCTGAACACCACTCCGAGAGTGCAATACACGAGGACATTTTGAGAAAAATTTCCAATATTAATGTAGAGATTCAGCAGGGGCCTCTCGGTGATGCCAACAACCCCGAGTACAAGGAGTACATCAAGGCCTCCAGGGAGCACCTGAAACGGAGCCTGGCCCTGGCTGCAGCCGCCGAGCACAGGTTAGAAGAGATGTACAGATCTCACGTTTTCCCAGAGGAGCGGACCAGCGATTCAGTCGATGACATGGAAACAGTTATCAACATGCTGTATAATTCCAGGTTCAGGTTGCCGGAGTATTTGAATATTAAGCATGTACCATCAGAGCTGAGAAAAAAGGTCACCGCCGTGACTAGTGTGTTGAAAAAACTATTTTGTGCAGATCAGGTAGAGACGCAACGCCTCATTAGGAAGCTGTTAAGCAATAATATGAAAATCCTAAATATCCTTAATGTCCCATGATCAAACTCATTTAAGCAAAGGGCTTGTTCACTGGAAAATAAGCATATTAGTGATTTTAAAAGTTGCCTAAAATATTTTCTATTATACTTCCATGTGCTAACATCCTTATGTGTCATGTCATAAAATATTTTCATATGCACTAAAAACCTAACAATTTTAAAATAAAAAATTGCTTCATGAGTTTGTAGTTTTTTTTCTCATTAATTCAACCAATTGTGAGAGGATAGTCTCCGAAATGTTTAAACTTTGGTTCTCCTGACTCCATGTGCTCACTCACTGTATGAGTTTAGAGACTGCTTGCGTTGTGTGGTGCAGCCATTTAACTAACTGCTTGCAGTCTTGAATCCGCTTCCAGACCATCTGGGTTTTCTCTAGGAAGAGCACACACTCAAGGCTGATATCAGAAGCACTTCTGTTTGGATGCGTGTTGCTTCTTTGGAAAGTGGGTGATATACTGAGACACACTCTGTTTTGTTGTCAAGTACTTGGGTCATTCTGAGGGACCCTGACCTGGATCTGTAATGAGATTCCCTCCCTTTGCTTGCATACAAACTCATTAAAGATTTACAAATCTTTTGATGCCAAGTATGACTGACACCAGTATAATATTATATGACTGACACTGTGTAATATTATATGACTGACACCAGTATATAATATTATATGACTGACACTGTGTAATATTATAATGAAAGTGCAGTTTTGTTTCGTGACTTGACCAGTATTATATTCAAGTTCATTTACTTAGTACTCATTCACCAAGCCAGTTATTTATAGATCAATCAACATTTATTGACTCTCTGATAGAACAAAATGCTAGGCTTTGGGGATAGAGTGAAGAGCTATTTCCCCTCTCTCTGAGATTTTAACAGGGGAGCTAGACATTGAGCAAATCCATCTGTTTTAAATTTTCAGTTGGGACAAGCTCGTATGGGAGGCAGCTGTCTAGCCTCAGCTGGAATGTTGAGAAGAGTAGTCTCAGCAAGTGGCATCTGAGATCAGGTCTGAGAGGTGAGATGTGCTTGGGGGAAGAGACCGTTCCAGGCAGAGGAAGAAGATGTGTGAATGTTGAGCTGAAGCTGAGGACAACAGGTTCAGGAAGTGCCTGGAGTATAGAGAGGCCAGAGAACATTCCCAGATGGAGTGGGCATGTATGGTCAGAGCCCAGCCTGAGGTCTCCTGGTGTGCGGTGGCTCTTGCAGCTTGATCCTGGGGTCGGTGCGAGCAATCTGCAGATGTTAAGCAAAGGACCCAGTGTGATCAAGTTTGCGTCAGGCACGTGCGTGTTTAAAAAACACCACGACGCTCTGGCCACACTGTTTTTGAGGCCGACCAGAGTAGACAGGAGCTGTTGCACAAGCCATGTTTGGCTTGGATTAGATGGCATGAGGTGCAGATTCAAAGTAGGAGAAACAGAACCAGTGGCTAAATGCATGGGCATGATTGAGAGTTACTAAATTGATCAAACAAGAATTTACCCCACAGGGCTGTGCCGTAAAGTGATTCCATGGGTGTGGTTTCACCAAACCACTGTTCACTCTGATAATTTTAAAAAATAACCTGTTATGAAAAGCCTTAAGCGCCTGCAAAGATGAGCAGTAACACGAGAATAGTATACAGCCATCATCCAGGGTGAACAGTCATGTTCTAACGGACAGGAGTGTGGAGACCTCCCCGCTCCCCCAACTTCCTGGATGCTCAACTGGATCCCCAAGAATTTTATCAATAACGATATCATCCTGTGGCGTTAATGGTATTTAGTCAATGTTTAAATTTGAAAAGTGATTAGACAATGGGAAATTTGGAGTTTCTTTCTATGAATCAAGATCAAATAAAGTTCACACATTGCTATTGCCTGACTGGACTCAGAGTTCTCTTTTAATTGAAAGACCCTTTCCACTTTTTTAAACTTGAAATTTGTTTATTGGAAAAATGGCCGTCAGTGCCATTTTCCCCTAGTGTGGATTTGGTGCTGTGGCTGCACTGTTGCCAAGCTGTTTTCCTGTCCTCTGTGTCTTCTTAATTCACTTACGTTTATTTATGTGCATGTGTGCATGTGTGCGTGCGTGCGTGTGCATGTGTGTGTGTGTGTGTGTGTGTGTGTGTGCCACCAGTGGCCGGAAGAGGTTGTCAGATCCCTTAGAGCTGAAGTCACACAGAGCTGTGAACCACCGGATGTGTGTTCTGAGACTTGTGTCCTCTGGAAGAGCAGCAGGTGTTCCTCACTGCGGAGCCGCCTCCCTGTACAGTTCACTGTATTTTTCTCCTTGTGAACTGGTGACTTAATCTAGAAGCACTTCATCAGCAGGAAGCTGTGCTTTGGTTTCCTTCTCCCCCACAGCGGCTTTGTTCCCTCCATTCCTCTTTTTTTCCTGTGGTGTGTGTGTGTGTGTGTGCATGTATGTGTGTGTGCATGTGTATGTGTGTAGGTGTATGTATGCGTGTATATGTGTGTGTAGGTGTGTGTATATGTGTGTATGTGTGTGCATATATGTGTGTAGTGTGTGTGTGTGTGTGTGTGTGTGTGTGTAAGCCAAAGATTGATGGAGGGGCTAGAGAGATGGGTCAATACCCATGTTGGATGGTTCACAATCAACTGTAACTAGCTTTGGGGGATTTGATACCTTCTTTGGGCAAATACACATACATGCATAAATTAAAATCTTTTAAAAGGAAAGGTGGAAAAATTCACACTTGTCACACGGAAGCCAGACAAATTAGAGATAAGATCATCCATTGTGGGGGAGCAAAAATGTCTTGGATGGAGTTGGAGAAGAAGGCAGACTGCAAGGGTGAGTTGAGGGGATTAGAGACAGACCATGTAAAGACAGCTTCTGCAATTCTCAACTGACTGAGACCTGAGACAGAGAGGTGACAGCTTCTTGTGATAGACAAGCCACTGTCAGAAGGAGGCAAGGAGCCGGGACAGAGAGGACGGAGATGGCCAGGGAGGGGGCGAATCATGGATATACACACCTGTAACCACAACATTTGACAGGTAGATAGATACAGGAGGATCAGAAACTCAAGGTCCTCTTTAGGCCGAAGAGGAGGAGGCCCTCTGCTGAGAATGGGAGCAATGGTTTGGAGGCTGGATAGCATAGGTGGAGGGCCTGTGTCATGTGCAGCTGAGGGCTGTGTAGCTATGAGGCGGTCCACCCCTGTCTCCAACAGGGTCCTTGCTCTACTCGCCTCCAAGAATGGAGTGGGCAGACAGCTAAGAGCACAAACAGGAGGTATTTTGCTGTTAGTTTGGGATTAACGGGTAAAATAAAGCTGAGTGCCACACGGGATTTAAACAAAACAAGATGCGTGGGACACTTGGCGCCTGCTGAGAGCCATCACAGCAAGGAGGAGCCCTGTTGCAGCTCTGAGCTCTGGGAGGGCTTTGGGAGTGCCAAGCTAGAGTGTTCTCTATGGGAGCAAGCCTGCAGGCTGCAGACAGGAAGTGGCCAGGAAATGAACGCCCATCCGAAGCTGAGGAGCTGTCCCCTCGCCTCCAGTGGGTCACAGCACTTATTTCCGTGGAGACACTGTGCACATTGGATTACAGCTGTGGGAACTAGAGCTTCATCTGATTCATGTCTGCATTTTGGTAGGACACATTGGTTTATTTGATTTCACATAATAAGAAAAAGTAATAATTTTAAGCCTCCGAATTTGTATTGAGAAGATGTTGACAAAAAGCCTCTATCACTCAGTCTAAAGGAAATTATTTTTGTATAGCATTTTTTTCTTCATTGGCATTAAAATGTCTGACTAATGAAATCTGAATTCTTTGGTCTTACCAATGTGTATCTTGGAACATTTACTTTCAGATGATGTAGAATGGGATTTAGAAAACAGCCTTTTGTTTTATGAAGGAAATGCTAACAAATTCTCTCAGGAAATCTAACTACACTTATTAATGTATTTTTCCCCCTACAGAACACATTTCTCTGTTTCTACACCGGCATGTCTGAATCAGAAGTTACCATTATCCCTAGTGTCTAGTATAAAGGGAATTACAGAGTACTTAGAGCTGTCCACTAGGTGTGATTGATTTTTGGTTTGTGAGTTTTTAATTTTTTTGAGACAGCGCCTCTCACCTAGCTCAGGTTGGCCATGATGTCTCTAAATAGCGGAGGGTGATTTTGAACTTCTGACCCTCCAGCCTCTACAGATGTGTGTCACTGTACCTAATTTAAGCAGTGCAGAGGCTCAGACCCAGAGCCTTGTGCATCTAAGGAACTGCTCTATCAACTGAGCTACCCTCCCAGCCCTTGCTTGTTTTTTTACCTTGGTTTTACATACAAAATAAACCAAGCATGAGGGAACTTAATGCAGAGGAAAGAGAAGCTAGAAGGTGGCAGTTAGGGTTTAAACCCAGGACACTTCTCCAAGAAGGACACCATGCTGCCTGACTGTTGGTGCTCCCTGAGGTCAGACACATGGAGTTTTAGCTTTCTTTTTTCTTTCCCCTTGGGTTTTTCGAGACAGGGTTTCTTTGTGTAGCTTTGCGCCTTTCCTAGATCTCGTTCCATAAACCAGGCTGGCCTCGAACTCACAGAGATCCGCCTGCCTCTGCCTCCCGAGTGCTGGGATTAAAGGCGTGTGCCACCACCGTCTTGACAGCTTTCTATTCTTTTTTTTTTTTTTTTTTTTTTTGGTTTTTTTTCTAGACAAGGTTTCTCTGTGTACCTTTGGAGCCTTTCTGAATAGCTTTCTATTCTTAAAACAGTATCACGCACAATACAGTGGTGTGTGTGTGTGTGTGTGTGTGTGTGTGTGTGTGTGTGTCTGTGTGTTTAGGCTACCTTGGATTCCTGCCTCTACCTCTAGAATACTGGAATTGCATCCATGTGCCCACAATCCCTCGTTGAGATTTTGGTTTGAGGAGACAGTTTCTTGCGGAGGCAGATGCTGGGGCTACCTGTCTCTGAGGCATCAGGCAGGAATGGAGCACTGTGGAAGTCATAGTGCTCACACGCCCTCCTGGCCTTTGATTTCCTATGAACAGGAAATACTGTTGGGCACCGAGTGATCTGACTCTCTAATTAGCAGGTGCTGGGCTCTCTCTTGGTTCTCTGGCTGCCCTCAGCAAAGGCCTGCCAGCCCCGCAGCCAGCTGGCTACACTCACAGCAGCAGCAGCAGCAGCAGCAGCAGCAGCAGCAGCAGCAGCAGCAGTAGCAGCAGCCGCTTTCAACGTGTCCGAGCTGCCTTGAGGAAGCTGCATGACAGCTGCAGCTGCTGAAGCCATCTGGCTCCTGAAGGTGTATCCCCAGCCAAGACCAAACAGTTTGCACCAGACTCTCCCTGGAACTGTTTCTAGCCAGGCCAAAAGGGAACCCCTCTCTTGGTGGCCTAGCAGAGGGATGCCGTGACTGGGGTCAGAGGAACAGTGCTGTGAGTTGTAAATCATTTTCCTGAAGCTCTGCTCTGACTGGTCCATGTGCCCGTTTTGTGGCCATGGAACCACACGCCTGTGCTCCCCCTGCCCCCGGTGTTGCAGCATGAGGCCCAAGAGTAAGCTTTTGTAGAGTGATCTTTCTTTCTTTTTCTTTTTTAAAGACTTATTTGTTTATTTTATACAAAGAAGAGGGCATCAGATCCTACCATAGATGGTTGTGAGCCACCATGTGGTTGCTGGGAATAGAACTCAGGACCTCTGGAAGAGCAGCCAGTGCTCTTTAACCACTGAGCCATCCCTCCAGCCCCATTCCCACTCATTTCTAAGCATGTTCAATTTCTACTGTGATTGTTTCCTTGGCCCGTTGTTTGTTTAAAAATGTGTTAAATTCCACCTATTTGTAAATTTTCCAGGTCTCTGTATTGATTTCTAATTTCATTCTATTGCATTCAAAGTTTATTTTGATTTCAATGTTGTGTATATGTGTGTGTGGTGTATATATGTGTTCATGGGCTGTGTGTATGTGTGTGTAAGCATTTGTGCGCATAAGGAAAAGAAACAGACTGACATCGAGTTTCTTCCTCAGTCGCTCTTCACATTAAAAAGTGTGTGTGTGTGTGTGTGTGTGTGTTTGAGAGAGAGAGAGAGTGAGTGAGAGAAAGAGAGAGAGAGAGAGAGAGAGAGAGAGAGAGAGAGAGAGAGAGAGAGAGCTGGGGGTGTGGGGGGGGCAGGTGATGGGCTCCTGCGTGCCATGGCACATATACGGAGGTCAGAGGACAGCCTTTGGAAGTCAGTTCTCTCCTTCCACCCTGATGAGGCGGTGTCTGTTGCTGTACTGTGTGCTCCAGGCTACCTGGCCCAAGAGCTTCTGGCCAATTCTCCTGCCTCACACAGAAGTGCTGGGATTACAGCCGCATCTGGGGTTCAGGTAAGCATTCTTCACCTGCTCAGCCATCTTGCTGGCTCTTCACCTTAGTTTTTGAGATAGAATCTCACTCAACCTGGAGCTCCTGAGTCAGCCAGTGAGCTCCAGGGATCTGCTGGTCTCCACCCGCAGCCCTGGAATTGCAGACAGGTGCCGGAAGCACAGCTTTTATGTGGGTGCCAAGGACCCGAACTCAGGTCCTCACACGTGGGTTGCGGCAGGCCCTTTGCCAGCCTCCGATTTCAGTCTGAGCTGTTTGGCAAAAACATGGATGATCTCTGCTAGAGCCTCTTCCAAATGGACTTGAAAAGCACACGTAACTGCTGGAGTGGATCCGAAAGTCCTGCAATCTGTTCCCTAGGTTGGTTATAGTGTTCAGTCTCTTTATTGCTTTATGTCCTCACAGATTTTCCATTTAGATTCTTGACCAGCTATTGAAAATGATGGAGTGGGAATAGATGGCTCACTGGTTGAGGGCACTTACCACACCCTCGAGGGGACTGGAGTTCAG